ATAGAATAGGGGTAGAAAAAATGAAATGTTCATTCATTGATTGAAGAATGAATGGCAGGGATTAGGAGGACTGGGGCTTGTCCTATACTCTGTACTTTTTATTTTATGTATTTATCTATTTGACAGGGACAGTGTGCATTAGAACAGCAGGTGCGGTAAATACAGCGGATTGTAGCCTGAGGTTAATTTCCATCCTTTGTTTCACAGTCGCAGTCACAAACACAAAAACACGCTCATTTGCCCTGAGCTGTTGTACATGGGTAGGAGAAACCTGCACATCCAGAGGAAACCTACGCAGATACGCAGAGGAGAACATGCAAACTCCACACAGAAACGGAACCTGGCAACATCTTGCTGTGAAACACATTGCGTAGCTAGAATAGTCCATACATGTGTGTAAAATGTACTTCAAAACTGAAATGATTCCTTTGATAATAATTAATAATAATGCATCGGTTTTATATACTTGCTTTTCAGGACACGTCATTATTCATTCACTCCATTTACAGTAGAGATAAACTGCTACTGTAGCCATAGCTGCCTTGGGGCACAGCGACAGAAGTGAGCTAACCAGTATGTGCCAACGGCCCCTCTGACCACCACCAGCCATTCACACTCACACACCAGACTCATTCTGGACAATGTGGGTGAAGTGCCTTGCCTAAGGACACAACAGCAGTTTGGCACCTGCTGTTCCCGGTCTCCCATCACAGCATTAACCAGGTCCTGCCCTGCAAAAAATCCTGGAGCCTGGATGGTGATCCAGATCACCAACAACACCATTTGTTCATTGTTCCACTCTGAGGTGTCTGAAATCCAACCACAGCAGACAAACATAAAGGCAAAAAATGATTAAATTAAGAACTTTGAGGAAAATGTGTTCTTCCAAAATAATGTGTAAATATCTCAGTCGATTACTAATTCTAAATCAACCGATTTATATAGATACTTGTCTATCATTACATCACAATAATTGTCACTCTAAATTGTGTCATCCTTGATTGTGAGTCTGTAGTTTGTGTTCAATGCAGCTCTGTGGTCACTCCAACGGTCACTCTGTGTGGGTGTGAGGGACAATAGAAAGATAATGAGAATTGTAACTGTATCAAAATGTATCTTGATTTTTAATAAAGGTTTTTGATTTTGGTACACCCCGTACAAATCATTAAATAAATAATGATACACCATAACTTAGCATCTACAAATAAGAGCAACTATTATTATAATTTAGTAGCAACAGTATTATGTTCTGGTCTTATATAGACAGCAAACATGTCTCTCCATAATTTCTCGTCACTACTGCCCTGCTCTATTAAAGCCAAAAAGCGGAAATAATATTAACTGCAAAATTACAATAAAAGAAATTAGCGAAGTAGCTTTATCACTCTTGTCTAGCTGGTTTATAATAAACCCACTTATATGCACCATTAGCCTAAGTTAGAAGCCATCTCCCACCCACGTGATTAAAGGGTTGTCTGTTTGAAGACTAAATGAATAAAACGGCGGGCGTTTACTGATCTGTGCATGTGAAATATTATATTACTGTTGGATGTAATACAGTTGAACAGTCTTCATTACAGGATATGACATTTGTGGAGGTGAAAGACGGCGCTTCTCAATATTTGACAATTGGACTCAGCCGAGCAGAATACAATGATTTCAAGGATAAGGCCTTGACCTTTAGAAAGCAAGTGTTTGGGATAGGGTTAAAATGGCTGGGGCGTGGTTTCTCTCTTCTCATGCTCCACTAAACATATGTGCCCATACTGCATGAAAAGGTGGGGCCATGTTGAACGCTGGCACGGTTCAGTGGTAATTCTGAAAATCCACATGCAACCAATGATGCGCTCAGAGTAAAGGACACAGTGTAAGATTAAGCTGTTTTTTAAAATCAACAAATAAATAATAATTCGCATTAAGATTGCTCCCAATATGGTTTTGATTGCATCATATCCTATGTCCCCTAACTAAAAGCTTGAGTCATTGGGCCAGTGATAAAAATACCATAAATCCTGAAAGATCCAGGAGCTAAGCAGACTACAAGAGATTTTCATTTTCAGACCCCAAGGACTTCAAAGTGGGTCAGGAAAGAGGTTGAATATAGTTTAAATTTTCCGTCTATTTGAAGCATAAAGATCGTTTGATGACAGTTGATGACTGAAATGGTGAAGCAGAAAATACATGTATGAAATAGTCACAGTGAAACGGTTCTTCTGGGGGTGCCACAACAAAAACTCCACAAAACACCTGCTTTCAACCGTCTTTTTATCCCAGATTGATTTTGTATGTTTTTTATGTTCAATTCCATTATTCAGTGTTGTGTCAATTTGATGGACTGAAAATCCTGCATTAAAAATAACTGTATTTTGTAAAAAAGTGGGTCACAACATGAATGATAAAAATGTGTCCCCAAAAACTTTGCGATAGAAAACAAGCGATGGCAGTGTGTTTGCAAATAAATAGAACATTTCACCACAAAGTTGGTTTACAAACCCCTTGTATGTCTTTTATATATGTTGTGGAAGCTCATAAAAGATTCAGGAGCAGCCTGCATAATCCATTATTTGGATAGCATAGTGCAGCCAAATAATCTAAGAAAGTGCATGTGATATTTTCAAAAAGTATTTGGTATTACTTAAGGCTGGAGTACCTCATTTTCTTCAAAAGTGAGATTTTGTGAGACAATCAGTCCATAACAGGCTGTTTTTGCTTTTACTATTTTTTTACACGTAAAAAAAAGCCTTGAGAGTCAAAATTTGACTCTATTCTGTCCGAAAGTGTGACAAAGCCCAGAAAGAACAAAAAATGTTTAGAGCTATGAAGTAGGAGAAAAATATTTGTAAAAAATATAGATTATTTGTAGTTTTAAAATTAGGTTCCACAGTTTTACTTCTAAAAAAAATCTATATGCTGTATATAATATAAAATAAAGTTCAAATTATTTTTGATATCATGTGCAGGACTGGGTCTGATTGGTTAACACTAGGACCGCCGTGCTCTAAACATACCTTGCACCGCCCCCTGCGGTCAGTTGACCGCTATGTATTTTGCGCTGATACAGACTTTTGCCAAATTGATTGTTCACTAAACCAGAACTTGATGTTGCAAAGGAATCGTGATCATAATGAAACTGTGTAAATTATTTGTCTAAATATGCTAAGTAATTGTAATTCTAGCCGAAATAAAAGACTAAGACGACACATTGTGCGTAAACTGATCCATCAAAATTGATGACTTTTCAGGCTAGATTTATTTTGTAACTTTGCAAACACCTAAAAGGTCGGTCACTATATGTTATATTTAACAATATGTAAATTCAAACAATATAAATTATAGTTTAGAAAAGCACGGGACCATAACGTCTTCGCGCTGCTATATGCGTCTACTTCTTACGTCATCTCCAGACTGTTTTCTTTTTAGAGGCCGAAATCACCGTGGGAAATATTATCTAGATAATAATAATATTCGTATTGACACAAGATCATCAGCTAGGCTACCATCGCCAATGTACAATCTTCAATTTTACACGGGACACGTTAGAAATACAAATATATGTATATATATTTGTACAAATATATGTATATATATTTGTATTTATTTGAGACAAGCAGTGCTCTTTATGCTCAGAACAACATTATAATCATTGCCTTGCAGTGCGCGCTGTGCAGAATAACACACAGTGTTATCTGAATGAAATAAGAATGATATCCTTATTGATAATGAGGGCCGCTTCTGCCACAGTCGCTCTCCATTTTGTACTCCTCTCTCTCTCCCAAATAATAATAAAAAAGTCCCTTTAGAGTCTAATGACAACATATTGATACATTTTTATAAGGCGCGAAAAAACCCCGGGAAAGGTTACTATGACAACAGTCGCCCCTGCGCCATGTATCCCTATGGGGCAGCAGAAAGGGCTGTGGTTTAGAAAAGTTAAAATGCGTGTAAATCTTGTTTTATTTACTTTTTCCAAAACCAAAACACACCAAAATATAAACAACAAGTACCTAGAAAAAGTCATAAAATTTCAACTTCTGGCGTTTTGTTTTGAATACACTAATTAGCATATTAAAGTGAGTGACGGTCAGTTGACCGCTAGGGGCGCTCCTAGTGTTAAGCAAAATCCTCTGAAATGTTTAATACCTGTGTTGTTGTTTCTCTCTTGTTTTGTTCTGTCTTGAGCTGTTTGCGGCTCAAGGAACGGAACTGTGCCTCTTGGCCGAGGTCTGTGCTCTACAAGTGTTTTTCTAGTTAATCAATATACCTGATTGAGAACTTTAATGTGCATACGACAGGTTTAACTAAAAACTTTCATCCAGATTGATGACATCAGGCCATTATTATTATTTGATCGATTACATTATGACATTATATGTTTATTCATATTATTTTATTAAACCAAGAAAGTCCAACTGGGATATTCCAGGGGAGTCCTAGTCCCAGTTTATTATAAATGTGGATTGTACAAAATTTTAGGATGAGTTCTGTCGACCCCTAGTGTGCGGTCATCAGTTCTCAAACCCTCCTCTTCCTAAAAATGACAAAATATTTTCCCATTTTACCTACTGTGGACTTATTGATATTTATATTTATATTTCAAGTTCAGGTTCCAATCCACCAAATAAAGTCAAACATAATTTGAAAGTAAATGTGATCTTAATGTATGTTTTTCTCTCTGGGATTTTAATGTTTATGATTTATGCCTTATATGATATGGGCTGTGAAACACTGTGTTACCTTGTGTAAGAAAATTGTTCTAGAAATAAAGGTTCATTGATTGATTGAAAACCTTTCCTATGATTATAACTGCATATGTTCACTTGATGAACAGCAAAACTTTGACCAAAACACCACATCGACTCTACATGGAAATGGTGAGTAGTTTCTGTGTCCACCCCACTCACCAACACTACGGCTACGTCTCTGGTACATCAAGACAAAACAAAAGAGTGTCCAGGCCAGAGTCATCTTCAGCATGTCAGGAAGAGAGCATATCCACTCACCCTGCTCAAAAGGCTGCCCATTAACCGCTGGTGCTTTCATCTTGAGGGCCTCCCTGGCAGACGTGTCGCACTGTGAGCCTTTATTAGTATCCTGGTCACTATCAGCTTGGTCACTATCTCCATGGCCACTGTCTCGCAGGCTGGCTCGCTCTGCATCCTTAAAAGTGGAGCTGCAGCAGGAAAATGGGAGAAAGAGAAACAGGCGCATAAGTTACCATTAACTGAGCATGAGAGACGGCCTGAGACAAAGAGAACAGACGTCCAAATGTGGTGGTCAAGTGGTACTTACCTTTGTACAAACGGTTGCCGGCTGCCTGCGTAATTGGACTCGGAGGGGAAATTTTCAGTCTGGAAACAAGAGGAGGAGAATATGGTGATCAACTCAAATATGTATACTTAAAGCGCAGTAATTGAGTCACAAATTAGAGTTGAGTCCAGGTGGTAAGGAGCAGGTCTGAACTTTTATTTAACTAAGTCTTCATGAACTTAGATATTAGATGTGTTTTTTCAAACGGGGTGTTGTAAGTTGATTTTCTTGCATATTCCCTGAAAGACAAACAGCTTATATCTATATTTAAATGTTTATTGTAAGATGGGATCCAAATCTATTACATTACTGACATAACTCCCATATGTTGCCTGTTGGCAGGCGAAAGGGCGGTGCATTAACTACTGTCATCGGCTTCATATTTTTCCCCTATCTGGAGAATAATATGTTTGTGTTGATCACACCCACATCCCCACGAGACCGGTGACAGTGCCAGGCCTTGTCATATGCCTTATCATCTCCAAATGAGACAGACTCTGAAACTGTCCTAGATTTTTACAACTGCTAATTCTGTTGGGCTAAACGTTACACCGAAGCCATGCTGTCAAATTAGCATGTCCGCTGGCGTCCAGGCACCAACCCGCCATCGCCATCTCCGCGAGGCGAGGCTGGGCCCCAGTAATGGTCTGGTAGTGCCAACTCTGGATGTGGCTGGGTGGCTATGGCCCATATTTGTGCAGTGCAAGAAATGCGATTGTAAGGTTATGCTGTGTGTGCTCCTGCTTTGTGGTGCACACTGGTTCGGTAATGTGATCGGACAAGCTGCTCAAACACCTGTCCAATCCCACATTTCAAGGCCCGGTTTTGTTTTCACTCTATAGCTCCGGAGTCTGGCAGGGTCACAGCAGCCTTGTTCAAGACTCACACTGTTTGCATGTCTAACTGTGAGGACTTTCTGATTATGCAGACCACCTGTACCATTTTGCAAGAGGAGAATGAAGCCAGAACCAAAGTCATGTGGGGTTACTGGTGTGGATGGAAGGGCATCAGTCCTTGGAAAAATGCTGTTTATGCCATCAAAACCTCAGTGACACTAACATATTGTGCTTTCTATGAGAGAGATATTAGGCTGTGATAAGGCGGCCAAGAAGAAAAGTAATAATGATGATGTCTGCTCGCTATGACAGTGTTCTCCCTTTCAGGCGATTACTTTCTCTTTGTCAGATTTGTATTGCAAAGCAGCATGAGAAGATAAGGAAGAATAAAAGGCCAGATAAGGCGCATGGTGGAGGTGTTCTTACCTGTATCACAGACATCCTGTTGGCTGGAGAGTCTGCGTTGAGACCGCCAAAGCTGGAGTGGCAGCCGGCCCGGGGTACCGTCAGGCTGTTGGGTGTGGTCTTCAGGTACATGACCTCGGACCTGGGAAGGGTCAGGGGCAGTGGACTCTGGTAGTCAAAACAAATGGGTGAGGTGATGAGAGATGGGCTGCTGACCACGTTCATGCGGCTGGCCGAATCCCTCTCCTCCATCTCGCTCTGCACCAGCATGATGTCACTCTTGTTGATCCTTTTCTTCTTGCCCTTCCCCACTGGGGCATTGGAGTACTCAGCCATGCGGCAGTTATAATTCCCAGTCTCTTTATCTTGATGCTTGGACTTGACAGCGATGGCGGCCATGACTGCTAAGAGCATGACAGAGATAATACAGAGGGTAACTATGAGGGGCAGAGATACGTCCCAGTGCTGCTGCTCTCCACTGGAGCTGGAGCCCCCTCCCACCGCCGTCTCCATGTTCGCCCTAATGATGAGCTTAGCCACGGCAGATAAGGGGGGCTTTCCATGGTCAGTTACCTTCACCACCAGCTCAACCACAGGGGCCACCTCTTCCCAAAGAGTGTGAGCTGTTCTGACCTCTCCTCCCATTGGATCCATTTCAAACAGGTGGTCTTCGTTTCCCTCTGTAATCTCGTAGGTCAAATGGCCACTTTCTCCGTGATCATGGTCTACCGCCTTTACCGTAGCTACTATATAACCTATACCTACATTTCTAGGCACAGGGATTTCGGCTGTATCATTTTGAAGTAGGGGGAGAATAATAACTGGGAGATTGTCATTCACATCAAGTATGTTTACTCTTACTATGGAGGTGCTTTCCATGTGAGGGGATCCCCCATCTTTTGCTTGAACTTTGAATTCGAAAGATTTTGTCTGCTCATAATTAAATGAGCGTGAGGCGTATATAGCTCCATTTGTGGGATTTACGGACACATAGGTGTACACTGAGACATCTCCTATGTGCGATGGCAAAATGGAGTATGACACAGTTCCATTCCGACCTACATCTGGGTCGTGGGCTAAGACAGATCCCAAATATTCCCCTGGGATATTGTTCTCAGGCACCTGTAGAATGTAGACTGTCTTTGTGAAACGTGGAGCATTGTCATTCTCATCCAGGATTTTCACAGTAAACGACTTAGTGTAGTTCAAAGAGGGGATCCCATTGTCTCGGGCTACAATAGTCACATTATATTCATCTTTCATTTCTCTGTCCAGAGGCCTGTCTGTGAGCAGTGTGTAGAAATTGTCGTTGTTCTCTTGCAGCCTGAATGGGACATTCCCTATCACCCGACACTGGAGCTGACCGTTCCTGCCTGCATCTTTATCTGTCACCCGGACCAGTGCAATAACAGACTCTGGGGGTGCTGCCTCACTTATAGCACCCTGCCGCACTGACACAAAACTTATTATTGGTGTGTTGTCGTTCTTGTCCAGCACTTTCACAGTAATTTTGCAGTGGCCCGGTATCGGGTTCTGGCCCATATCTTTGGCCTGAACATCAAATTCTATAATTGGATTCTCTTCATAGTCTATCTCTCCTTGGACTTTGATGACACCCGAATTGGGGTCAATGGAGAACAGATCTTGTATTCTATCAGATGCATATCCAGTGAAGGAATACACCACCTGTCCGTTGCTGCCTTCATCATGGTCAGTGGCGTTCAGATCTATGAGCACTTTGCCAGGAGGAGAGTTCTCTGGGATTTCTATGACATAAGAGGATTTGTCAAAAATAGGGCTATTGTCATTGGAGTCAGTCACTCTGACGTTAATTTGCATGGAGCCTGATCTTGGATACTCCCCTCCGTCTATGGCGGTGAGCAGCAGGGTGTGATGGCTCTGATCCTCTCTATCCAGGGGTCTCTGAACCACCAGCTCCGGGTAAATAGTCCCATCACCCCTGACTTTTAAATCCAAAGAGAACGTATTGTAATCGTCTCTGGTGACCTGATATGTCTTGATGCTGTTCTCCCCTGAATCCGAGTCATGTGCGATGGTGAGAGGGAAACGCGTCCCGGCTGCTGCGTTCTCAGAAATGTCAATATTAACGTGATCCGCGGGGAAAGTGGGTGAGTTGTCATTGATGTCTTGTATATCAATCTTGATCATGCAAATCTCTTTGTCGTTGGCAAATACTTCCATAGAGAGCTGGCACTTGGGGTTGCGCCTGCACAACGTCTCCCTGTCAATCCTTTGTTTGGTAAAGATAAGTCCACTCTCTGGGTCAACATCCACGAGATGAGGCGCGGAATTCTCGAGCACGCGGAATTTTTTCCCTCTCTCCACAGTCCCGTATCCAGCGTCCTTTGCTATGTTCCCTATGACTGTGCCTGGTCCTTGCTCCTCAGGGACGGAGTAATTAAGGTTTTTCAATGTCAGGGCTTGTACCCACAACAAGAGGAAAACCGTGACACAGAGACGCATCCCTTCTGTTGGCACCAGACAAGAGGAGAGAAGAAAAAAATCCTCGTTGACTTTCAACCTGTTGAAACCTTACGCAGACATGTGCTCTGCAGCAGCCGCTCTAATTACGCATCTATTCTATAAGTGTTTTTCTTTCACTTCACTAATCATCTCTGTCAACAAAGGTGACCGGGAGACGACACCTCACGCATGAATTAAATATCAAATCCAACATTGTGCAAAGAAGCGGCTTTGTGTTTTTATTTTTTCCTGAAGGGCGCTAATGAATAATCGATGACTATAAAGTATTAATATTCCCCACTGCGTCCAAGGTTAAAGCGTTTGGATCTCTCCTGGTTGAAGGTTAGCGCGGGGCTCACAAAAGCGCATTGCCCTCATGCGACATCTACACCTAGGCTATACACAGGCAGCATGCACCATTCTCCGATCTAACGCGTTTCACAATGCATTTACTTTTACCCCCGTGCTGCACACTGTTGCATCCTTCGCGCTCTGCCCCTGCTGCCTCTTCCCCATCGCCTCTACGCTCAAAGTGGGCCAAAAGAATGACTAAAAGAAGCGCTTTCCCCTCCTGGAACAGCTCTGTGTCGCCGTCATTCAAACGCGTCTATCTCACGGATGCGACTTTTGCCCGATGATTGTCCTATAATCAGTCCAGTAATCCCATAATCCAGTGCAATTGGACCCGGTGCTGTTCCATCCTTCATTCGGACACTTTCCTCTCGCTTCGTGTAGTGGGGGGGGGGGGAAAAATAGCAACAAAAGAGGAGGAAAAAGCCCGGAGAAGATCTCAGATAATCAAAATTAATGGCTTTTCTCCTGGCTGCCTGCGCGCAGTCACTTCCCAGCGTCAACTGTTGAGCTCCCTCTCGCTCTGGCTCCTTTCAGTGCAGTGACTGGAATCCTCTCGACGCCTTCCTCCCAAAGCTCGCGTTGCTATTCCTCACCGCATTCAACATAGTTTCTGCCAAAGCAAATGAGTGAGCGGTGACAGATCTTGCCTGCGGGTTGGTTTTGCGCATGTGGATGTGAGTTTCCATCCAATAGGTCTGGGCTAAGATCGCATGAAGAAGGGCTGTTCTAGTGCTACGTGATTCAGTTACTGATGGACGCGCGGCATCGCAAGGCAAAAGAGAGAGGGGGGGAGAGAGACGTGCTGCTACTACCTCTCTACTGTTGCTCCAAACACATGGGAGTGAATGGGAAAGGGGGGGGGGGGGGGGGGGGGGTTATGTGACAAGATCGATTAAATGTATTGTCTGCAGAATATGGGCACCTTGAGTGGTCATTTTCTGTCAGCAGGATTATTAAATCTGGGTTTTGTTCTCTGTTTTGTTGAAAAGGTGCAATAAAGCCTTCTCACTTTCCCTCCTATCAGTGAAGTGCTGGAGATATTCAAAGATGCCTATCAATATTTGAAAACAATACCAGCTGTCTCCTGTGCCGCACGTCTTATCATTAGCTTTTGTGCAAGATAAACCCAAGACAGACTGCGTGGTATTTTCCGGATAATCTTCTTCAAAAGGACACATGACAGTGGATTTTGCTTATAAAATTGTGAAAATATATAGTAAAAGTTTATTTGAGAGCTCCAATATCGCAGCTGTTGGTATAACCTGCCGTCTGCGTGGACATCAATCTTGTATCTCTCGCCTATACAGCCATATTGGGAAGAAATGGTATGACATTTAGTTCAATTCACAACATGGCATTAGCATTTTGATTTTCACTTGTCCAGTGAATGACGCACACGCATAAAGGAGACAGAAGACTGCATATATAGGATGTCTCAAAAAGTCTTGTAGAAAATGGGATGTATTTCATTTTGATTCCCGAGATTGGTTTTGAATAGCTTTCGAGTCACGGGTGAAACTCAACCAAATGGGTGGAATGGTGGCAGCAGAGTCAGGAATGCTCTGGTTAATAATTATGACATATAGGTACACTTTTCACTCATAAAGGCAGACATTGTTGGTGATTAAGCTTTTGACCCATCGGAGGGAAAGTGCTCCAAAAGTTGAAACATTTTATATAATGTGGATTGGCTATTCATGGGATTCAGAATGGCCTGCAGGAAGTGGGTTTTAATGTTCTATTTCATTCATACTTTGAAGATGGAGTACTTTGAAACCTCAAAAAATAAGTATGTCATAAATTCCATGTAACTAGTTACTCAATCTTTCACAAGTTTTCACATGCTTGGATTTTTGACCTTTTTCACATCTTTAGATCAGCTTTTTAAGACTGAATAGAGAAACGGAGCGGACCAGCATCACTCAGCCAATCAGCTCTCAGCTCTCAGAGTCAAATAATAACTCACATGGTTCTGTATTAGTAATTTCATTTGAAAGATAAATACAGCTTTTTGTGGTCTGATTTGTTCACAACATTGTACTTTTACTCTTTCTATAATCATAATAACAATAATAATAATACTTTGTACTTGTAAAGCACTTTTTTGGACACTCAAAGACATTTTACAAAAGAACAGATACGTTTTCATGAGTCAGAAAGCGTTACGAATGCGTGGGAGAAGAAAAAAAGCATGTTATTGAAATAACAAATGCAATATTCCATTATAATAAACATATTAGTCTAGTTCTGGAACAGAGGGAGCATGAAACAATAGCTCGGAACCATACAATATGTAAATTATGTATTTAATTGTGTGATGGGAAACGATCAGATCAGAAGAGGAATAATTGTCTGATTTTGAGCCAATTCCGATACGTTATCAAATTCAATTCATTTTATTTTTGTACAGCCCCGAAGCACAACAGTAAAGTTATCTCGGAGGACTCTACAAATCTATCAAATTTGCCAACACAGATCAGAGAATCAAACAAACACACATAGATCTTTTTGTTAATGATAATAAAAACACATAGAGCCATTGGTCCATGAATGTATATAAAGTCCATAAATGTTGTTAAATGTCGAGTGTCCTGGATCAGCACCACCGTCCTTAGACCCTCCTGCAGCGGATCAAAGACCACAGAGGTCACACTACACATCCATCCTTTTTCAAAGACACATCCAAGTCTACAAAGACACACAAACAAAGCTGAATTGTTAATCTCCTGCATAGAGCGCTAATAACCCATTTTCTCCTTACATGATTTTGCTGCAACAAGGTTAACCAACTTACCAGCTGCTTTTTCATTTAAGAAGGGAACTGAGCTCACTATCTGCTCAAAACAAAAGGTTTGTTGGGTCGCGAAATGACTGAGGCCAGTGTGACAGAACAAAGAGAGCGGAGAGCAAGGTCAGGAAGCAGTGTGACTCTGCCCTGGCTGAGTTCCACAGAAATCCCCTGGTGATACTGGTGCACCATCTTATTACACTGGCCCACTCACAACACCAGAGTACTCAGACGAAAGGTCAAGCTAAAATTGCTAATATTCAATTAAAAAACGAATGGTGCGTTATCAATTCTGAGCTGTTGATGCCAAGGGGCTGGTGGATTGAAGCCTTCTGGGCATTTATGGTAAAACTGACATACTTTAAATGTGTCCCATGCATAATTCTTTTGATTACTATGCATTGGTTTTTGGACGTATTTTTTGTTTGTCGTGTCCCTGCGACAATATTCGCAAATAATCATAAAAATAGAAGGGGTGGAATTTTAATGCACAACCTCCACACAGCCCCAGCATCAATCATCTTTGTGGTGATTGACAGTTGATGCCCTGCCTTGCGCTAATTGAGACCGTTGGGGCCGTTCGACAAAAGGCCACAACATTCATGATAAACGTACATATGAAAATATTTACATAACGTGAATTATTTGGTAATTACGTTGACCTAAGTTGCATTTAGATCTGTCCAGCATCTGTTCAGAACATGTGGGACTCAAATTGAAGGGGATATTATTTTTGCCTTTAGCTCTGTGCTAATTAATATGCTAATTGTGACATTAACCTATATTAAAAGGGTAAAGATCAATATTCTTACAAATCACTAATGGTTTCTAAGGTTTATTAACCTAAAAATTGGAATGGCTGCAGGACAGATGTTATACAGGTAAAGCTGGGGAGCCTCAATTCAATTTATTTCGGTTTAGACCAAGATTACAACTATAGGTGACTCAAAGGGCGACTATAGTCCTCTGAAATAACTTCTGTTGTGATTTAGGGCTATACAATAATACATTGAATTGAATATCAAACAAAATGAACACATATATAACAAATATAATGACATGTCCATGGGGTAATGAGTTAACCAACGTCCACAAAAGGCAAGGCAAGTATATTTGTAGGACCATTCATACACTATAGGCAACTTAAAGTGCTGAACAAAACAAGATAGAGACAGTCACACAAGGCATTATATCATAAATAATCACGGTACATTCAAAAGACTCAATATAAAAATCCCTTATATTGAGTTAAACCTGGATTTGAACAGAGAAGAAGCCTGTCTCACATGTTCTGCGATTTAAGCTGCATGAATCTGAAATGCAGTGTCCCCATGCTTAGTCCTGACTCTGGGCACCAGCAGGAGTCTAGTCCCTGCGCTCCTCAGAGTCTGAGTTGGTTCATGTGGCACTAACATGTCACTGATGTACTTTGGTGCAAGGCCATAGAGCGACTTGTACAAAAGCTCAAAAATGTCCTGGTTCATCCTCAGTGCGAACAAAGACAGAGAAACTTCAGGGAGAATCATTGAGAGAAGGATCCACTCTGAAATACACCAAACTATTCTCTCTTTGAGCCATAACTTAGGACTTAGGGACAGGTTGGCTTCTCGCTTCTCAGCAAGAAAGTCCTGGGTTCGAATGAGTGGAGTTTGCATGTGCTCCTCATGTGCGGTAGGTTTCCTCCGGGTGCTCCAGTTTCTCCAACTGTTACGACCCAGCTCTGATAGGGTAAGGGAGGTAACAAAAAAACCAAGATGTCAAATTGGTAAAGCAAGTATTTAATAACAGGCAAGTAAATTATAAGTAGACATAACTCAAAAAGGATACAATACAAGACATAAGAACATAGAACTAAAAC